TGTTAGTGTCGACCCCTGCATAGACCTTACTCCAATCTACTAGTACACAAGTGTTAGTGTCGACCCCTGCAGTTATGCTTGTATGTTCCCTTTTTACAGAAGTTGAATACAAAATTTCTTGTAAAATTGATTCTTTCAGGTAATGCAGAAGTTTGGCATGGAAAAGTTGATGTTCTACTGAACCACACGGATATTGCTCTAAAGATAGCCAGTGAAGAACATGCCGGTGATAAAAGGCGCACGTCAAGTATCCGTCTAAAAGACGAGATTTTTGCGGAGACCATAGTGTTTTCCTTTCTTCAGAAGCAGTTTCATCCTTACAGGGGACACCATTTGTATCCCTGTATAGCTGTGAACAATAGTGACCAGGTTGTGTACTTTTATGACTCGCATCAAGACGTATTACTGGAGAGCTCGCCAGTCCCATTGTTTGATCGGGAAACGGGAAAGTTTCAGTTTGCGACTATCATTTTGGCATGGCTGGTGGTAAACCATAAATGTCTATGTGATGGTCTTCCATCTGACCTGGCATGTAAAAAATCAGGATTTTTTGAGTGCAAGAAAATAGATGTTTTTCGAGAAGATCTGCATTTGGGCCAAGTAGTATTCCCAGCAAAGTCACCGAGTGAATGTAATGGTGTAAAACAATTGTGCAAAGAAGTTGACGATCTTAACAAAAGAAGGTTACGTGCTATGGCGAATAAAAGCTTTGAATAAAAGGGACAATTTATATTACTTCATACAAGAACCAGAGTTACATTAGGAGCACACATTTTGCAGTCTTTGGTGTAACGAAGGATCTTAACCCTTTCACCCACCCCTATGTAACTCTAGTAGACTCTACCATGCATTGATATGGATGAGTTCATTAGGGTCAACAGTGGTGAAAGGGTTAAGTTTGAGTTCTTCTTACAGTGGTCTCACGGGATATCTGGTGCTCTGGCAGCTCAAGGGCCGGTATTCATAAAACTGTTCTCATGCTCAAGCATATATTCTGTGCTCAAATCAGCCTTCTTGTAACTCACTTAAATCATATTAAACGTTAAAAAAGTGAAATTAAAACATTAAAAAAAATATTTGGCTTCAAATCTCTTCAATATATTTACCAAATTATTGACAAAATACGATGTTTTATTCATTTAAAACTGGAACAAAAAATTTGGCTTCAGCACAAAATCCATGCTTGAGCATAAGAACGGTTTCATAAATACAGGCCCTGGTTTCTGTGGTTGTTTTCATGAGCAAGGCACTTTACCTACAATTTTTTTTGCCCACCATTATGATGGTGGTACTTTATCTATATAGATAGTCTGTCATTCCTTCTGTCCATACCTTAAACAAATATTGTTATCACTATTTCTAACCTTTTCACCCCTATGTAACTTAAATGAGTCTAAGGGCTAAGGAACAAATCAAGAAATATTTATGTAACTTTTTGGACATGTTCACTTTTGGACCTATATCTTGTTGAGGATGTTACTGAGCTTGATCAAAATTAAATCAAATTTTCAATATGGTCACTGCATGGTGGCCATCTTGGATTTTGACATTTAAAGTTTCTTGGGAACTAATGGGATGTTGATCATGAAACATTGTGGACAAATTCATCTTCAGAATAATTGTGCATGTTTTATTTTGAGCTTGATTGGATTTTCAATATGGCTGTGGTAGCTATCTTAGACTTTTCAACATTTGAAGTGAATTTCTGATCACTATTTCAGGAACTTTCTGAAGGATATGCTGCTATGAGGCCTAGCTGTACAGTTCACATTAAGAGCATAATCAGATTTTCAATATGACTACTGGTATCCATCTTTGATTTTGACTATGAAGAATGCATATCGCTATTTCTCAGAAAGTGACAAAAGGGTCTTTCCACATTTCACATGGTTTCCACCTGGCAGCCATCTAGCTGGTGGGATTTCAATTGAGTTTGTTATTATTATTATTTCTCAAAAAGGATTGATGAGATCTTTTCTCAAAATTGTGATGTAGAGTTCCTTGAGTATGGAAAGGGATCACCGCCGTAATTGTTTAAAGCATAATTAGTTACTTCTGGTTTGTGTATTATTTCTCATTCAATGCTATGCAACTTTTCGTTCCATGCTATGCTACTTTTCATTCCATGCTATGCTACTTTTCATTCCATGTTATACTACTTTTCACTCCATGCTATGCTACTTTTCATTCCATACTATGCTACTTTTCATTCCATGTTATACTACTTTTCACTCCATGCTATGCTACTTTTCGTTACATGCTATGCTACTTTTCATTCCATACTATGCTTCTTTTCATTCCATGTTATACTACTTTTCGTTCCATGCTATGCTACTTTTCATTCCACGTTATACTACTTTTCATTCCATGCTATGCTACTTTTTATTCCATGTTATACTACTTTTCACTCCAAGCTATGCTACTTTTCATTACATGCTATGCTACTTTTCATTCATGCTATGCTAATTTTCATTCCATGCTATGCTACTTTTCACTCCATGCTATGCTACTTTTCATTCCATGCTATGCTAATTTTCATTCCATGCTATGCTACTTTTCATTCCATGCTATACTATTTTTCATTTCATGCTATGCTAGTTTAACCGATTACGATTTTGTGTAAGCTTATAATATTCAATCCATTTCAGACTTACATGATGTATATGATCAATAAATTATATCAGTTGATAGCGACGCTCGTCGTCATTTTTGTAAAAACGGATATTCTAAATTAACTTTAGAATCAGATATAGCTAGTAACTAAGTACATGATATAGGACAGCTGCAATATCTTCTTAAATATACACGGACCGCTTCCAAACCGCACCCGGATCTCCAAACTGATCCAGTGTCGTTATTTGTTAAGGTTTTAGCTATTTTATTTTTAAGGTTCTTATATTTATTACTTCATAAATGAAATAAATGTTGAACATATTAATGACGTCTTGATGTAGACTGGGACATTTCCATCCCATGTTTTCCCGTCAATATATCACCTGAACAAGTCTACATTCTTAGACTTGCTCAAGCCCAGAAAATAATCACATACATCTCGACAGAGCGTAGAGCTTGATGTCCTTTGATAATTTTGTAGACTATAACCTCCCCCCTCCCATGCAAACATATTTTTAAAAGAAAGAAATAATTGGATGTCATGTGTAATTGATGAATTTTCCTATTACATGTAATGGTAATTTAATTGATTACATTGCTATATGTACATGTAATGCCCAATTAATTTGAGTTACGTTTCAATTACATTTTTGTTTAAATAAAGCTTGTCAGTGACATTGAAATTAGAATATTTATATTGTACTGACATGGGCCAAAATCAACTTATGGTAATGATGAATCATAGTTTAAAGTAAATACAAAAATCAAAATGAAAACATTTTCCAAAGAGAATATATGAAGTATATATTTGGAAATATTCATAGTACAGTATGATATTTATTTAATATTTTGCTATGACTGCATAACTACCCAGGTGAGCGATACAGGCCCTCTGGGCCTCTTGTATTTACCAAGATATGCAATTCCCTATTAATGTTAAATTTATTTATATTTAGAATATAAGGAAGGCACTGAAGTGTGTAATGAAAGGCCAGATTAAGCATACTCATCATGCATTCAGTAGCACAACCCTCTACCTGCATCATTCATCGAAATATTATGTAATAGTTTTTAGCTCACCTGGCCCGAAGGGCCAAGTGAGCTTATCCCATGGTGCAGCGTGCAGCGTGCAGCGTCCGGCGTCCGATGTCCGTCAACTTTTTCCTTTAAAATGCTACTTGTCCTGAATGGCTCAGAGGATTTTGACCAAATTTGGTCAGGAGCATCATTGGCCAAAGGGTTCTCAGTTTTGTATAAACGGAGGGTATAACCCCCTCGGGGC